CCACGGGCGAGGAGATAATGTCACCGTTAATGAGGAAATTGAGATGTATAAAAATATCCGGCACTTTTGGAAGTTGTCTTTTTTTTTTTTTAATTTTGAGACTTCACGGCGCTCGCAGCCGCTCGGAAACGACTCCCACCTCCTCGCAGAGCTGCGTCAAAGCAGGGAATACCCAGCGCCCCAGAGCAGCACGGCATGCGCCGAGCATGCACGGCAGAGCCCTTCAGAGGCTGCTCCTGCACCGGGCGGCGGGCACGCATGGTGCATGCGATGCACACGCACGAACGTGGGTGCGTGCAACACATATGCATGCGTGGGGTGCATACAGCACGTGCACACACGGGTGCATGAAACACATATGTGCGCCCATGGCTGCAAGCAATACGTATGCGTGTGCCTGGTGTGCATGCCATGCATGTGTGCGTGCACGCATGGCTGCATTCCTACTCTAGAGCAACCACCCGTAGCCTGTGCATCTTCCCAGGCGGGATATCCTCCCTCTGCATACACAGAGCAGCACTGCTGAGCTTGGATTTGAGCCGCTCCTGTGCTTGCCCTACCAGACTGGTGTGTGCCCTCGTGGCCAAGAAGGCCAATGGGATCCTGGGCTGCATTAAGAGCGTCTCCAGCAGGTCGAGGGAGGGGATCCTGCCCCTCTGCTCAGCCCTGGTGAGGCCACATCTGCAGGATTGTGTCCAGTTCTGGGCTCCACAGGACAAGAGGGATGTGGAGCTGCTGGAGAGAGGCCAGCGCAGGGCTACGAGGATGAGCAGGGGCCTGGAACATCTGCCCTATGAGGAGAGGCTGAGGGAGCTGGGCCTGTTCAGCTGGAGAAGAGAAGGCTGAGAGGGGACCTGAGCAGTGTCTAGAAGTACCTCAAGGGAGGCAGTGAGGAGGATGGGGCGGCCTCTTTGCACTGGTGGCCACCGACAGAGCTAGAGGAAACGGCCAGAAACTGAAACACCAAAAGTTCCACAGGAACTTAAGGAAAAATCCCTTCCCAGTGAGGGTGCCAGAGCCCTGGAACAGGCTGCCCAGAGAGGTTGTGGAGTCTCCTTCTCTGGAGATCTTCAAACCCGCTTGGACGCAGCCCTGTGCCACGTGCTCTAGGTGACCCTGCGTGTGCAGGGGTGGGACTGGGTGATCCCTAGAGGTCCCTTCCCACCTTCACCATTCGGTGATTCCATGATTCTATGACTGCTGTCCCCTGTGAGCACAGGGCTCGCGGCACACTGGAACCCGTTTTCTGCGTCGGCTTCGATGCTCCTCTTCATCCCCAACCTCAGCAGTTTCGCCCATGGTGGAGAGGAGCCTCGGAGGCGATTCCTGCCCAGCGACGGCTGATCCACGCGCAGCGGGCGTGCATGAGCATGCTCCATGCTGCTGCGCTCTCCATGCGCCTCTGCGAGCGCGCTGCCTTCGGGCACCCAAGGGCAGAGCACCCGACCACAGCAGGGACTCATGCAATGCCAGACAGGGGGAAAAATAAGGGGAAAAAGGAGAAAGCAAACGCGCTGTTTGTGCAGGACCACACGCGTCTCTAGGAGCGGGAGAGTGCGCAGCTGGTTCCCAAGCGCAGTCGGAGGGATCTTGTGCTGTGGGAAGCTCTAATTCGAGCATCCATGCTGGCCTCGACCTGCTCCGAGCATCCAGGCTGGCCTCGACCTCCTGCGAGCATCCGTGCTGGTGTCAACCTCCTACGAGCATCCATGTTGGCCCCAACATCCCACAAGCACACACACTGTCCATGACCTCCTCTGAGCATCCACACTGGCCTCAACCTGCTTCGAGCATCTGCGCTGGCCGCAGCCTCCTCCAAGTATCTGTGCTGGCCTCGACCTCCTCCGAGCAGCCGCACTGGCCTCAATCTCCTCCTAGCATCCATACTGGTCTCAACCTCCTGCAAGCATCCATGTTGGCCTCAACATCCTGCAAGTATGCAGGCTGGCCATGACCTCCTCGAAGTGTCATGCTGGGCCATGCCCTCCTCCAAGCATCTGCGCTGGCCTCAACCTCCTCTGAGCATCCTCACTGGCCTCGACCTCCTCTGAACATCTGCGCTGGCCACAGCCTCTTCCGAGTATCCGCCCCGGCCTCAACCTCCTGCAAGCATCCGTGCTGGCCACAGCCTCCTCCAAGCATCCGTGCAGGCCTCAACTGCCTCCAAGCATCCGTGCTGGCCTCAGCCTCCTCTGAGCATCCACGCTGACCTCAACGTCCTCCGAGCATCCACACTAGCCTCAATCCCCTCCGAGCATCCACGCCAGCCTCAACCGCCTCCTCTGAGCATCCACACTGGCCTCAACATCCTGTGAGCATCCATGTTGGCCTCAACATCCTGCAAATATGCAGGCTGGCCATGACCTCCTCCAAGCATCTGCGCTGGCCTCAACCTCCTCCGAGCATCCTCACTGGCCTCGACCTCCTCTGAGCATCTGCACTGGCCACAGCCTCCTCCGAGCATCCGTGCAGGCCTCAACTGCCCCCGAGCATCCGTGCTGGCCTCGACCTGCTCCGAGCAGCCACGCTGGCCTCAACCGCCTCCTCTGAGCATTCACACTGGCCTTGACCTCCTCTGAGCATCTGTGTTGGCCTCAACATCCTGCAAGTATGCACGCTGTCCATGACCTCCTCCGAGCATCCGCACCGGCCTCAACCTCCTCCGAGCGTCCTCACTGGCCTCAACGTCCTCCAAACATCCACGCTGGCCTCAGGCTCCTCCAAGCATCCGTGCTGGCCGCAGTCTCCAGCGAGCCCCTGCGTCACCGCAGCTCCGCTGGGTCCGGAGCATCCCGGTACTCCAGGTCACGCTCTTTGGGAAGCGCGCAGAGCCCGGTGCGCGGGCTCCCGGGCGGGCCGCAGTCGCGTGTCCTGCCGTGAGCCCCTCCCCACCTCGTCCCCAGCAGCAGGATCGCGAGCGGGATCCAGCCGGGCGGCTGGCCGGGAGCCTGGAAAGCTGGGAGCAGCCGCTCCCCTCCGCTTCACCACCCGCCGCTGCCTTTTTTTCCCCCATTTCCTTTGCTTTTTTGCTGAGTTTGGCTCTCCGAACCGTGAACAATTAATGGGGACACCACGGGGCCTAATCCATGCAGGAGCCGGCTGTGCCAGCTCGTGTGCAGCCATCCCGCCCCACTTGCCCACGGAGCGAGGAGGAGGAAGGAGGTCGGAGGAAGGCTCCGGGCATCCAGCAAGGGCAGCCCCGCGAGGCCAAGGGACCGCGGGAGCAGGGGCAGGCGCCGGATCCGTATTGCAGCGATCCGATGAAATGCCGAGCGCCGGCTCTCCAGCGCCGGGCAGCCTTGGGGGAAGGGAGCGGGGAGAGATGCAAGCTCATCGCTTTTACGCCGCGTTCCGCCCGCAGGGCAAAAAACAGGTTGAGGAACATGCTGACTTCATGCGTCTTCTCCCGGGAAGCGCTTCCAGCCCCTATTAAATATTGATCAGGGAACTCGGTGCCCCCACTCGCGGCGCCCGTCTCCTCCAGCGCACCTCTCCTCTGCCAATATTTAGACTACATTAAGGCCATATGCCGGAGCACTTAGCATTTTACGCCGTGCTGCTCCGGCGGCGGAGCCGGGCCCGCCACGCGCCCCGTCCGTGCCCGCAATCAGTTCGGTTACACAACACATGGATGAGTTGCCATGATCCTTGTAACTGCAATTTAGCGGAGACGAGACACTGATGAGTGCCTGGGTTTGCTCCTCATTAATCTTTCATGCTCTTGGAGCGCGGCGAGCTTTTCGTAGTACAAATCCTGCTCGAAAAAACAGGGAAACAAGAGCGGCTCCGGAAGCGGAGCCGGGCGCGCGCGGTGGCGGCCTGCCCGCCCCCATGGAAAAGCTGTGGAGCTGGATGCAGCATCGTCCCGGAGCGACGGAGCCTGGATCCCGGTCCAGGGGTGCTGCCCATGAGCGGGCACCACGCAGGGATGCGGGCTCCGGAGGACAAGGAGATTCCCGCTGTCCTGACCGGGCAGGACGGTGCTGAAGCCGGAGCTCGGCTGCTCCAGGAGGATCTCTAGGTTTGCCCAGGGCTGGTTGCTTTGGGCTCCTGGGAGGCTGGAAATGCCAAGAAGTTCCCCAAGGAATGGAAAAGCAGGATGGGACACTGAGCAGCGGCCTCCCTGGTCAAGGGATGGAGAACCCAGCTCGAGCTGGAAGCGGGACGGATGCCGCTCCGGGAAGAACAGTGGGAGGCTGGAGTGCAGCACTAGGGACCTGTGGAGAAGGACTGTCCATCCACATCAGCCCCAAAACAGGGAAGGGACAAGGAGGAAGAGCAGGTGGAAACGTGTGGCAGAAGGAACAAAATGCAGGAAAATCCTAAGCAAGAAGGAGATGAAATGCAGGGAGCAGCTGAGAGGAAAGCAGGATGCTTGGAAAGGTGGAGGAGGAGCTGAAGGAAGCGGAATTCCTCTGGGGGAATCAGCAACGCTCCTCGCAGCACAGAAGCATCTCCATAAGCAGCCCTGCGGTTGGATGGACTCCGGGGAAAGCATCGCCCGGACGGAGCAGCGACGGCGCAGGGGATCCGCGTGCGCGCGGGATGGGATGCGCGCATCCCGACGGGACACGGAACACGCTGCGAGGCACAAGCCAACCTTCGAGGCACAAGCCAACCTTGCAGGCAGCCGCACCGGTGTCAACCTTGCGGTGTCATTGCAGCGCGCGCGGCCCCGGCGGGCTCTCCGCTCGCATCACGCGATCGAGCGGGGCTGGCGGAGCGCGGGGCTGCTAACGAGACGCCGCAACGGAGCCGTCCGGAGGGATGAATTCGGAGGAAAAACGGTTAAGCTGAAACCAAGCTCTGCAAACCGCAGGGATAAGCCGGGAGCGCCCAGGGAAAGCGGAGAAGCCCCCGGCAGGAGCGCGCGCTGCCGCACGCCCTGCCCGCCCCGAGCTGCTGGCTGTGCCAAAAGCCGCTTCTCAGCCCAGTCCTGCTCCCCCGAGCTCGTTTCTTCTCCTTATTTGATCCCGCGGAAAAGCAAGTCCCGGGGGCA